AAGAACCGCCCCTCCCCCACCAAAAGCCCCCCCATACTCACTCAGCATGCCCATCCCCAGCATGAAGGCGTCCATGGTGTAGGGTAGGCCTCTGGCACGACCCCGTGTCCCAGGCGGGAACATCACCTCCTTTGGCTGGGCTTTCTTGCATTCTACCTGCAGACAGACCACACACACACACACACACACACACACAGACCACACGCACAGACCACGCACACACAGACAGACAGCCGTTAGCAGCCGGGTCACCCCAGCCCCTGTACGAGCGTCAAACTCGCATTACCACTTCTTACCCCAAGCCTGCAAGTTCAAGAGAAATTAATGGAAAATTACAACTGCTTAATTCCACTTTTAAGCTCCGAAGATCATACGAGGGCTCCAATTTAAACCAGGATGGAGGAGGAACATAACAGATCGATTGGAATTATTTTTCATATGGCCCCCGTGTCAACATGGAGGGTGCCCCCCCACGGGGCCCCCGGGATAACGTGTATCTGCAGCCACGGCGATGGCAAATTAAAACAATGAGAGCGTTTAAAGGCGGGATGGAGTGATCAGGCTCAAAAGACCATCTTTATGCTAAAAACCGGCAAATTTATCCAAGAGATTAAACGGAGACGTTTAATGGAAGGGCGTTCAAGCGTGCTGAAGAGAGCGTGCGTGACCCCATCCCACCGGGGGTTATCAACAGAGCCCCCCCACCCCCTCTTAATGGACCACTGATTTCAAAAGGAAGAGAATCCCTGTTGGCGTCATTGTAGAGACGCAGGACTTATTTTCACAAAATACACCTCAGATTTGGTGTCATCATACACTCTTCTATGTACTGCCCCCCCCCCACCCCACCAACCAACATCCTGGATGTGTCATCCCCCTGCACCCCCCACCACCTTAGACCCCATTCCACAATGCATTTTGACATTACCACCCTGCCCCCCCCCCACTCTCTCACACACACACACAGTATCAAACACATTCCCAACACACACACATACAGACATCAGGTGCCGAGCCCCCCCACCCCACAACATTTTCCTCGTGTCCCCCCCTCCCACCCCCTCCCACTTAGCAGTGAGGCAGGTGTAAGAGAAGCAACTGGCAAGACATCATGGCCGACACAGCGCAAGAATAGCAGCAGGCTAAACGGTGCGACGTGAGTCATTACATTTTCCTCATTAGTGAGTTTTGGGGACGTTCAGAGGGGGCGAAGGGGCCATGGGAGCCGGTGGCAGACCGGGGTTTAATCAGCGGGTCGGCAGAGAAAGGCCGCGCGCGGCTCCTCGCATTCCCGCTCGGCTAATTACGCTCCCGGCACAGGTTCGGCTGCTGATGAGCCACTTCAGTGCTTAATGAAAACGTGAAGGGGACCACTAATGGTGGGGGCCCCGCGGGAGGCCGGGCGGGCGAGGGCAAGGGCAAGCGGGCATTGCCCGTTTCGGGACACCAAGGCAAGCGTCAGAGAAAGCGAGGGCGGCACAGGGGACGAGCAGGCAGGGTGATTCAGGGTCACCAGCTGTGACCCGTGCAGGCTTACAGGTGCAGGGGTTTAGCCTTACCGCGTCCCTCCTGGGGGCCGACCACTGGCAAGCAGGCGGCACTGGCCGAGCCCGGCTCCTATTGGACATCGCTTACTAGCGCCCAATCACAGCTGACCAGCGCTCAGATCACTGACTTCCTGCCACTGCCGTTTCCTTGCCCACCATGTTTGTGTAATTTCTCTACACCGCGAAAGGAACAATTCGCAAGCCTTCTCTCCAGCTTTAATGAAGGCGGCGTAAGGTTAAACGCCGGCGATGGCTGGGGCCGACGCCTTTTCACTGGCTCTGTAGTTGCTCCTCTAATTATCGGGCAATTACCCAACGCCTTGCCAACAGGTGGGTGCTAACCGTCACTCGTTATTCACAGCAAGCAGCCCTCCCCCCCACCATCCCCCCTCCGCCCCCCGCTCCAGACGGAGCAGGCCCCGGCGGACCACTGCCTGTCAGGACAATGGCCGGAGGTCCCGGATGGACCGCAGAAGATGTCAACACAGCCATCAGACGGCCTGACATCTGACCCCTGATGACAGGCATACGAGTTCAAAAGCGCGAGCCAAAATACCACAAGCGTTTAAGCTCCGCCGTGCCGCGGGGGAAGGAAATTAATTAATGCGAGGGGATGGTGCACGCGGGCACGCGTAGCTTGGGGAGAATAACCTCCATCAGCAGCGCCTCACCTGAATGTCACCCCGGCCCACCGAGGTAAATAGGAAACGCTGATGAGTCCTTTTGCATTTAAGCGAGTCCGCGCTAGGAAATGTCACTCCCGCCACAGCACGACAGGCCAAACTTCTTTGCAATCGAATGTGCTCCTTTAAGCAAATTTTAACGCTTTTACTAAGGAAGGTTGGGGGTGCCAGGGGGGTGTGTGGGGGGGGGGGGGGGCCCCGGGGGGGGGGGGGGGGGGGGGGGGGGGATCTCAGGAGGGAGGAGAGGTGGTGGTGAGGGACCCAGCAGTATTGACAGAGGTGAGAAACCAGGCAGGGAGCTCCAGTCCGTGGCTGGAACCATTTTCCCACGCACCCCGTTTCCCATCTACCCCACTGCAGGGACGCACCAAAAAAAAAAAAATACACGACACTGCAGAGTGAGTCACTTCTGCATACTGGCATCACATAATGCCGAACATGAAAGGCACTTAAGCAGACTAAATAAATAAATATGCATCCGGAAAAAAAGGCAACCTGAGAATACCGGCAACATCTGCGCCTCTGCCGAGGGGAGATTGTCACAATGACTGGGCCGACGTTCCCAGCAGAGCGGCTGCATCAAAGGGGGCCGTCTCAGAAATCTCAGCAGAGCTGGGGAGCGCTTAATAACACCGACAGACGCAAATCGGGGAGACGGAGAGAATGGAATGGGGGGGAGGGGGGGGGGGCGCTGCTGAAGGTCGGCCACGGAAAGCGGGGAAGCCGGGACCTCTGAAGTTTATTTAGCTTATCCCGGCTACACGCGGACGTCAGCTGGGTAAATAAAATAATCCAATTATTCCCTCTTCCACGTCAGTCCCCTCGGGATTAGGATTTCGAAATCCTGCAACTTGGTGTGACCGCATACAATTAGTAAGTCGCCGTGTGCTGTGGAAAAAGCGTTCGAACAATACGACAGCGGCCAGCCCGGACGCGGCGGGAAGACTGGCGCTGCATATCCGGCCTGTTTTAGCGAGACGCCGAGCGTTTATTAGCAGTCGGCGAGTCGTCAGCACTCCGGAAACGTCGCTCATGCTTAGCAGATCAGGAACAAGGCTTCCCGCGGCTGAAAACTGCAGCCACACCAAATATATAAACTCTAATCCACAATGACAGACAAGAAAATACTTAAGTCTGTCCTTTGACAGAAAAAAACGTATGCAGCCTGACAACCTGTATGTAGCCCCCCCCCCCATGGGAATACGAAGTGTTCTCCAGTGTTTAAGATTCACAATAAGGAAATAAAAAGGCATTCTCCAGGACTTTCACTGCGAATATTTAATTCTGATATCCTAAAGCCAATTATTATTAGATACACTAACACTTACATCAGGGATTACAGCTCCTGCTGTCGCTCTCCTCACGAACGGCTCTCCTTTCTGCGTGCCAGTCATTTTTAAATAGTAACCTGAAGCATGTGCCAAATGAGCTTCTATATACTAGAGTAACCTGATGCATGCGCCAAATGAGCTTCTATATACTACAGTGACCTGATGTACGCACCAAATGAGCTTCTATATACTACAGTAACCTGATGCATGTTCCAAATGAGCTTCTATATACTACAGTGACCTGATGCATATGGAAATCTAAAATAGGAAGCAGCACATGAAATACTCTGTCACAAAAGGTCCCGCGAGGTCCAGAAAGTTCAGGAAAGAATTGGATGTCAAAGGCCATATAGTTTACGAAACGCAGAGGAACAGTTAAATACGGACTCTTTTCATGCAAGTCCATTCAGTGCTATTTTATGCCTGTTTCACACTATTTTACAGTCTAAAGCTGCTTGATAAGGAACAATTAAATATTACATACATGCAAATTCAACTTTTTAAAATTAGATGCCCAAGGCCAAATAGGAAATTTTAGATGACTACAATTTTTTTGGCTTTTGTAAAAGGTTACGTTCCTTTGTCAAGCCGTCCTACGAGAAAAGCTGCCCTATTCCATAAACCCGTCTCTACACAATTTTTAAATAATTTGCTCGACCAATTTCCTATAGTCAGTATTTCTCTGGCAAAGCTAATGCCTACATGACCTTAAACTATGGTATAAACCCACATCGTCATAGTTTATTTATTTTTAATAGAGACTTTAGCATGCGGCCTGAATATTAAACAGAGACTATCTGCCTTTTAAAAAAATATATACAATGTAGATCCTTTGGTGCCGGAAAAGGGAAACATTTGCCTGCCAAGGAGCAGCACCCGGAAAGATCCGGAAAGTTGATCTGCACAGTTGATCAAATGCAGAGGAAGGGCCAGATTCCTAAAGACAGAAAACTGGCAATTTCTCTGAACAATATTGTCACTATTATGAATAACAGCTGACCCCCACCCCCCAAAGACATGTCTATCTTCCTGAGCTCAGATTAACAGTCAGCGCCCTGTTGTTCCACATAACATCCTTACCCCACTGAAAACACTGACTCCTTAGTGCTGGAATACTGACCCAGACACATGGCCGCACTGTGGTATGAGCGTCTGCAGGATCTAAACTTACTGGAGAGGCAATTTATTCTACTCTACATTGTCTGATTTACAGAGATAAGATTCTTTTTCTTTTAATCTCAATTTGTATGTATTTTCCAAGATTAGTAAAACTGTACGCTTCTAATCCCTACCCAAGCCAATCTCTGTAGACTTAATACACGGCGTAAAAACTAATGGGGAATGAATGGGATGTACAAGATCATTACTTTTTAGATCAAGAACTTGGAAACAAAACTTCATAGACAGGCACTTATTTATGGAGAAAGATTAGATTAAGTACAGTAAATCCTCATCTTTATCAGCAGCTATCAGGGCCTTCAGGGGTTTAATTATGCAGAAAAGCAGCAGCCACGGCAGACGAGCCCGAAATGACAAAGACTTCATTCCAAATGATAAACAAACATTAAAACAGACAACGCGGCGGGACCTGAAAC